CACACACACACACACACTGTGAGTCAGAAACAGAAAGTGAACTTTGCCCTGGGTCAGTGTGTCACTGCAGTGATCTTGGTTGCTGCAGATGCAATGAGGCAAGAGACATTTGGACAGCAGCAGCTCGCACTGGCAGGGCGGCCAGTGCGAGCTGCTGTATCTCTTGCTATTGTGCACGCTTCACCAGATACACACTTTGTATATTTTTGTGTATCTTTCAATGTACACCTGCTCAGACAAGCCAGTGTTTGTCACATCCAAGAGTAAAGAGTCAGCCAGTAAAAAGTCCTCACTGGGTTTTACACAGAGTTACTGGGAGAAGATGGGAGAGCTATTATATAAATAATTATTTCCAAACGACGACTGTTTCTTCTTATTGATTATGTGAAGAATTCATTTCGAGAGGCAAAGTTCTCTAACACACTTTAACATGTTTACTTTTAAAATTAATAGAATTAGTTTATATTACATATATTTAGTATATTAAGTATATAAGTTAGTCAATCTTCAGATTAAGCTGTGGGCAATGATGCCTGCAGATCATGTGTCCACTGGATTTGTAGCTATAAACTGCTGGTTAAGTGGAGTGTCTGACATGGTAAATGCTACTGGCACTGAAATGACGTGTCCGTCACGTTTGTGTTGATGCTTTGTTAAATGTTTTCTTTTCCTATCATATTAATGTTTGAACTGTAAATAACTCGTCTCCCTTGATTATTTCTTCACTGCAGTTCACCTGCAGCTGTTTGCTATCATGCAGATTTCTGCAGTTAGGATCTTAATTGGTGCTTACATATATAATTATTGCTGTCTCAAAATGCACTGACAGTGGTTTGTAGCAGAGACACGTGTGCTTTGCCCTAAACAAACACTACAGAGCATGCTCAGTGCCCACATTCTGCTTATCCTTGTATCTCTTCAAGTTTCAGTTGCAGCTACTGAGGCTTCGTAAAGTACACAGAGGGCTTGATGTGCTAATACGTGCTAAACCATCACAGTCGTGGGAGACACAATGAACAGATCAAACAAACTTTAATGCCAGTTAACAAAAACACGTTTTTATTCTATTTTAAAAGACTTGAGGGAGCAGACCTGACTGTGAGGGATCTGGGGGCAAACATGGAGAGCGCACAGGCTCTCCTGAATCCACAGACCTGTTCATACATCAGGGTGTAAAAGGTCAGTGACAAAAGATTGAAGTTTTGTTGATGAACAAAATCCTGAAATCAATTCTAAAGGTCACAGATGAAACAGGTGTAATATGACCTTAAGTGCCTGTGAGGAGCCAAGCTGCGGCATTTCATACAAGCTTAAGACTGGACAAAGTAAACTGCAGAAGTCAGAGTGGGAAGAATGACCATCTCCAAATCTCTCACAGAAATATCACTCCGAAACCTTTGCCATGAGGCTTGACAGAAAAACCCTCTGATGGAATCAGGTGGGGCAAAGTAACAATGACAAATAAAAAATGTTACATGCACTGATTTAATATGTTTTAATATGTGTGTTGTACTTATTTCTTGTCAACTCTCTCATTATATACACAGTGTGTGTCTGTGTGTAGCACATGGGTCAATACATACATACGGCTACTGGTGGACGGAGCAGTCGCCTGAGACTGCATTGGTCTGAAGCCCCTCAGTGAGATCGTTGACAAGACTGGCTACAGATACCGACTATGGCGTGGAGCAGTTGTCAGCCACCTTCTGATCATGGATGACATCAAGCTGTATGCCAAGAGTGAGACATCGATTCACTGATCCACACTACCAGGCTATACAGCAATGACACTGGGATGTCATTGCTGATGATGTCTCACCCCAACCGGTCGCAGCAGATGGCCCCGACCCTCCCTGAGCCTGGTTCTGCCGGAGGTTTCTTCCTGTTAAAAGGGAGTTTTTCCTTCCCACTGTAGAGTAGATAATACCATCACACAGTCAAGCATCTTCAATTCCCATTAAAGTTTTGTTGATGTGCTTTGATCCAAGTTCAGCTGTTTACTCCACACCAGACTCAAACGAGCTGAAATACAAATGTTCCAGAGCTAACGTAGCTCAACTGAGCCGTCTGCAGACAAAACCGTCTTTGTCTCCACTACATGAGGAAGTGTTTTTTTTTTTTCTCACTGAATCATTTGTTAGTGATCCTCTCCATGTGTCTCTGTGTGCAGGATGAAGGACACCAGTAAGAAGAACAACATCTTCTCCCAGTTCAGGAAGAATGACAGAGACAAACAGAAGCTGATAGAGACTGTAGTCAAGCAGCTGAGGAGTCTGGTCAATGGCATGTCCTCTTAAACCCACACACACACACACAGGCAGGAGTGATGTGTGTGAAACAAGAGACTAAAAGATGTAAACATGAATGGCGTCACATGCACGCGTTGAACTGCCAACAGAAGGACTTTTTCACATATGTAAAAACAACACACCAAATGGCAAAGACACACTTGTGAACCACACGGGGAATTCGAGGGACAGATACACAGCTTACATGTACACACAAGTCACACACACACTTTACATGAAGGCAAAGCAATAGACAAACTGTACAGAGTGTGCAGGACTCTGCAAACACACAAAGTCTCCTTAGCTGACTCAATACTCGACGATAAACGGCATACAGCAGTTCACTGACACAGGAACAAGCAGTAAAATGTTTGTAAAGTATTTTTAATGCAGACGATGAGACGAACTATGTTTTGTACTTTTGTGGGAGTGCAATGGTTGCTGCAGAGTAAGAGCGCTGGAAATGACAGGCACAACTATTGGGACGATGAGGTCAAAGGTCAGTAACACCAGTGAATGGCACCAATCACTATCTGATGCTTTGTCACACACATCTATAAACCGAAGCCCTGTGCAGTAAGATTATCTGCTGGTTAACCTAGTCAGTGTAAACCAGCTGTTTGGAGTGTGGTCGTTAACGAGTAAATATGTCAGCCCATGCTAACCTGCTGAAGTCCTCTTCTTTCTTTTTGTTGTTGTGCATTGAGATGAGCCTATTTTAGCTGAAAACAGATTTCCACAGACACTCAGTCTGAGCTTAGACTCATGCAGCCCCTTCTGTTTAAAATGTAAAGAAAAGCAGAACTAAAGACAGATCAGATATTTAAACTGAACAAATGTCCCATTTTAAGAATAATAGCACATTTTGAATTTGATGGCACATCTTTAAAACGAAAAGACGGACGATTCCCACTGTGTGAAGCTGTGCTGCTGGAACAGCTGCAGTGTGTGGTTTAGTGTTGTCCTGCTGAAATATGCAGGTCTCTCCTGAAAAGTACTCTAAAACCTGTATACACCTTCCTGCATTGATGGCCAGATGTGCCAGCTGCTGATTCCATAGGCATTAATGCGCCTCCACACCATCAGCAATGAAGGCTGAGTGCTGGTAACAAAGCAGACTCTTCCTCCCGTCTTTAGTCCAAACATGTCGTTTTGGCTGACCTCAGAACAGTTTCCCACTTTGCCTCAGTCCATTTTAAATGAGCGTTGGTCCAGAGAGGACAGCAGAGTGTCTGCATCGTGTTCACATGTGTGATCTGTGGATGGCAGAGCGAGCTGTGTTCCAGCTGAAACTCAGACTCACACCTGGAGGTGACAGGCAGCCAGTGCTGAGCTTCAGTGCTGAGCTTCAGTGCTGAGCTTCAGTGCTGAGCTTCAGCCTTGCACACACAGATTTCTCTGCATCTTTTGATGCTGTTATTACTCTGGATCAGACGTTCACAGTCTTTTGCAGCGCAGCACATTATTCTGATCTGTTAATTGTACACTAGTTT